GCTCGTATGTGTACATTCGGTTGGCGTATTTTCCAGCTATGTCAGCTCGCACAGTCAGTGTGGGATCTGGGTGGAGGAGGAGAGAAGACGGAGAAGAGTGAATCTCATGAAAACATAAGTCACCTCAATATCAAAGCCAAAAATATTTCAAATGATATTTTACATAAAGAATATGAAACCAGGGCCACCAGATTTTAAAGGCAGTGCAACAAATAGGCCTACTAATATGGTATGTAAATACTTTAAATTTTAAACATTAGATATAATGTAATGTAATGTAATATAATATACAAATATGTTCCTAATATCACAATATTATACTAGTTACACTGGCGGTCAAAAGTTTGGCATAATTAAGATTTTTTTTTAAATTTTTTTTTAAGAAGTCTCTTCACCAAGGCTGCATTTATTTGATCAAAAATACAGAAAAAAAAAAACAATAAAATTGTGAAATATTATTACAGTTTAAAAGAGTTGTTTTTTGTTTTGAATATATGTTAAAATGTAATCTATTCCTATGCAAAGCTGAATTTTTAGCATCATTACTCCAGTCTTCAGTGTCACATGATCATTCAGACATCATTTTAATCAATGTTATCAATGCAAATCAAAGCAAAAATAATATTTAATAATATTTTTTTTTTTTAATTCAGGATTCATTGATGAATATAAACTTAAGCATTTATAAGTAAAAATATATAACACTTTACAATAAGGTTCCATTTGGCTAACTACATTAGTTAACATTACCTAACAGTGAAAAATACTTCACCTCTAAAGCATTTATTTTAGTTACTGTTGATTCCAACATTTACTAATACATTATTAAAAGCAAAAGTTGTATCTATTAATGTTATTTAATTGACCTTAGCTAATATGAACTAACAATGAACAGTTGTATTTGATTAACTAACGTTAACAAAGTTGAATAAATACTCTTAACAATGTATTGCTCATTGTTAGTTAATGTTAGCTAATGCATTAAATACCAAATCTTTTCCAACATTGTAAATGTACTTTCTGTCACTTTGGATCAATTTAATGCGTTCTTGTTTAATAAAAAATATTGATTTCTTTCATTTGACACTGAAGACTGGAGTAATGGTTGATGAAAATTCAGTTTTGCCATCATAGGAATAAATTACATTTTAAAATTATAATAATAAAAAAAAAACAGCTATTTTAAATTGTAATAATATTTAGCAATATTTCTGTCTTCTATATTTTTGATCAAATAAATGCAGCTTTGGTGAACATGATAGTCTTCCTTCAAAAACAATAAAACAATCTGAATTATTTCAAACTTTTGACTGCCAGTGTGCATTGTTTTTGCTCCACCTGAGACTGCACACTGACATAATTACCTAATATTAATTGCTTCTGCTATTGAAATCCCATTAATTACAGAGTTACGATTATACAATATTATCAGGTAATCCCAACTCGACAAGTCATTACACTGAACTGTTTAATAGGAAATAATGTGAAAACTCACCAACAAACAAGATCCTGGGGACATAAAAGCCATCAGGAGCCAAGTTGGCATCGGTGGTCTCATGCTGAAAATCACAATCATTAGCTTATTCTTGCAGTTTTAGATGCATTTCTCACTTCAATATCTGTTGAACATTTGACAGTACTTGTACTTGTACTTTACCACTAAATTGAGCATGATGAAATCTGATTTGGCCAGCCTTTGAATGGTTTGATGTTCAGCAAAAGCCTTTTTCAGAGCTAAAAGGAAGCAAATAGAGTACAGAAAGAGATTAAAACATCGACATGCAATAGCATTTTATACAAACTGCAAAGACAAACACTTGTTACTTTCAGATTGTGATTTAAACCAGGGGTTTTCAAACGGGTTCAAAAAACATTTGTAAAAAGTATCAAAATAAATCATTAAATATATATATCAGGGTTCCTCAATAGGCGGCCCGCGGGCCACATCCGGCCCGTGAGAGAAAAAAGTTTGGCCCGCGCTAATTTCAAATAATGTGGCATAAAAATTCAAACGCAGCATCAGAAAGCTACATTAACTTATGGTGCGTTCAAGTCATGTCGGATAGATCGTATTTACGAGTTGAACGCACATGAACGCCACCACAAAGTCGTTATTACGAGTGAGAAACTCGAAATTTTCTTTAAGCCCAGAGTTTCCGAGTTGGGGGCGTGTCAATGAGAAACATGGCGGAATCGATGGATGCAACGTCTGTAGTTGATGGTAAATTTTTGTTTAAATTGATAGTTTAGTTGTCCTATAAACTTAAATGTAGAACTGCATGTCTTATATATATATATTTTTTTTTTTACAAGAAAATATATAGTTTCCTTTTGAAATTTGATGATGGGATCCTCACTCGAGGAGGATGATGATATTCGGGGGTCAATGGCATCTAAAAGATTGAAAACCCCTGATTTGAAGAACAATGCACCTGTTACTTCACATGTTTGGAATTGTTATTTTTGGGTGAACTATTTGTTTAAGCACTCTTACAAGCATCTATGACACAAAGAATTAATCTATACATTTTTATTTCATTAAAGATCATGTAAACTGTTTGATGCAGAATCCAAAAGATGCAAACCTTTACTGTGCGGACAATCCTCCAAATGATGAATGATCATCAGAGGCTTCTTACTATGATAAAACAGATATTTCAAATCTGATTATACATAAAACACAAGTGAGAGTGGTGTTTAATGTGATTGTAGGTACCTTTCGACAGCTTTAGACAGTCCTTCTTCATAAGTCTGAACCCAGGTGGTGTCATCGCCCCAACCTGAAAGAAATGTAGACATTTTTCTATGATCGATTTACCATAGTATATGGACTTCTGTTTATGCGTATGCAATTCACTGATACCTCTTGAGAGAGTTTGGACTGCCTTTTTCTTCCTTTGAGTAGAGACATCACAGAACACAAGAAATAAAAGTAATACGCAGACCATCCAGTGCTGCATGATTATAGTATGTGCTATGTGTCCTGAGGAAAAAAAGAGAGAATAAAAAGGAAAGTCAAACGTGACTAATGCTTTATGCTAATGTTTTATTCAGCTGTTTTTAAGGTTGGGTCCACCTACTGAAATTGCATGACATACTCTTAAATAGATGACAAGAGCTGTTAAACTGGACAAACGTGCTTGTGAAACTTTGTTCTGACAGCGACGAATAACAAATGTTCACTTGACTATTACAGAAGCATTTTAATTTTAATCTTTTATAATTTAACTTGATGATATTAATGACAACTAATAATTTCACCAACAAATAATTTACACATACCTTGTCCTGTATCAAATGCAATTACAAATCGAAAGTAAAATGTTCCCTTGATATTCTAATAAGAACTACATTTTTCACACTTTTCATGCTGGCAAGTTTGGAATGAAATGCAAAAGAAACGCAAGCATGTCAAATGAGAGTAATGTGAAACCAAGATAGTTCTCAGTGCTCCAACAAACAACCCAGCCTTTATATGTGGATAATGCATTCAGATTCAGATCGATTCTTAAATAATTCCAAGAAAGTAAGAAAATAGCAAGTAAAAGAGAGCCTACCGGGAGTGAACAGGTGAACTAAATTTACTGTCCCTCTCTCCAAGCCGACAGCAACTACTACATTGTATGTCAGGCATTTTTATAGTCTCACTATGTGTAACCTCCCAAACAGGTTTTGCATGCAGGCAATACAGAATTCCTCTCACGTTTATTTAGCCAATCACAGAAGCTCAATGGACATACAGTATTTTGTATAGTATATATGTAGTATATGCAAACAGATTTTTTCATCTGAAGATCTCTGTGCTTTCTTAAGTAATTTCATTATAGAAAATATTCTTTGCCACATGCTGTTTTACTATTCCAGGAATGAGCTTTGAAATCTCATATGCACACGGTTATGCTACAAGCTCAGCAACCTGACATTTGTAGGTGGAGGGCTGCATGCTTAATCATTGTATCTGTATTTTTGTGATGTGAGGATATTAATAATGGAGGCCCAGTGGTATCAGACAGAATCTACATGAAAAGTTTTAAAAGTAGTTTTGATCTCTCTATCTAAAGATCACCCAGCTGAAAAGAGTAGCTGGCTGTGAATGACACTGACTTGAGGTTATTTCTCAGCACTTTGTCTCTGAGTGATGCTGAGAAACCGAGACACGAGGAGTTTGAGCTCTGCGATCCAGCAATGATGTCAGTCCGGTTTACGTAAAGAGGTGTGATGTTATTTCTGTTGCACTATTTATTTTTTATTTTTTTTAAAAGTATTTTTTTTTTTTTTTTTTTTTTTTAAATCTATTTTATTTAGTTATTTATCTATTTTAATTTTATTTGTTTGTTTGTTTTTGTTTTGTTTTGTGATTTTTACACAGTTTTTCTCAACTTTTTTATGGACCCCCTAGAACTCTCTTTTGGCCACCAGTTTGAAAACCCCTGCCCTATTGTGAGCAAATTAAAATAAGTCAGAAAAGTGTTTATTTTTTACAATTTGTTTTATTTATAAATGTATAAATTATTATTATTATTATTATTATTATTCTCTTTTCATATTGTTATTTTAACTAATGTATTAATAAATAATTATTTAAAAATAATATAATATGTATTCTGTAATATAATCTGTATATCTTTTTATTTTAGTTATTTGTTGTATCATGTATTTGCTTTTTTTTATTAATTTAAATTAAAAATTAAAAATGTTAATTAATTTAAATCTTATTCTTAATTATTTATTTATTTTTACAAAGTGTTTATTTTTAAAATTATTATTATTATTATTTAATTGTATTTCATTTATTTTTTTATTCGTTTTTTTTTTACACATTTACTATTGAAATGTTAATCTTTCTATATAGTTATTTTTAACTAATGCATAAAAACATATTGATGAATGCATAGTTAAAAATAATATAATCTGGATTCTGTAATCTGTATTTTTTAGGTTTTTTTATTATCATGTCGTTGTTCTTTTTTTCTTTTTTTCTTTTTTTTCATCTGGTCGGTTTGTGCAGGTAAGAATGATATTTGTCCCAGTTGGTCTGAACATGAAGAAAGACTGACATAAATTTGGAGAGCTACAGTGTTCTACTGTTGTTTGTTGTTGTCATGGACACCTCTAGCCCTTGACGACCGCCTAGGTTCCGCGCAAGCGCAGAATCCGCACAGCGGAGGATTGTGGGACAGAAAGCTATCGCCAGGGCAACAAGCAGAGTTTAGCGAGCGGAAATCTGCTGCTAGCAGAACAGTAAGGGCGATTAATTATCAAAGAAACATCTTTTACACTAAATACCGTTTTAGTTTGTTGCCATGAACGAATCTGTAGCCAAAAAGACCCAGGAGACTCTGGGAAAAGTGATCAAAAAGCCTCCTCTGACAGAAAAACTGCTCAGCAAACCGCCGTTTCGATACCTGCACGATGTCTTCAGTGAGGTGAGTTAGTGAAAACATTATTTTTATGACATAAGTGCTGTTTTATTTCGCTCACCGTCTACATATTTACCTTCATACGCTTCAAATCCAGTTTATAGATCTCGAAACGCGTACGTTAGCTGGCTAATGTAGCTTGCGCATAGTCTTCAAAATATGGCAGATAACTTAAATGTCAATATATGTTTGCCTGATGTGTAAATATCTCATATTAGCTTTAATATTTGAATGGCCGGAGCTTTGCTTTAATGGTTTAGATGAAGTTGGTGTTTTGATGGTGGCGAGCAAGCTAATATATTACTAATACAATAACTGTTAAAACGCTGTCAGCAATATCATCTTCTGTCTGGGTTTTTACTGTCATTGCATTCAGAGCTCTTGTTGAGCTGTTTACCTGGTTACTAGGCATAGCTCCACATGGTTATGCAAACAAAACTCAAGGGTTTGCAATCTAGGTGTCCATGTAAATGATCTTGACATATTCATGGGATAAAATAGAGATATACTTCTCAATGTAATGGCAGACTATCGAGAAAAAAATAATACAAATTGTATGGCAACTTCTTGTGCTTTTGATTTTGTAATTAGGAGTATATTCCCCCAATAAACGGCAACAATTGCCAACAAACACCAGTATCCAACAGTTGTTAAATTTTAAAAAACACACTGAACAAATTAAAATAGCAAAGCAGAAATGTAATAATAATGATTAATAATAATCATTTCATTTTATTACATATATATTTCACATGTATGCTCGACACTCACTGTCTGCTTTCCCTACTCATCCATTTCAAGAAATATTGAATTAAGATTGTAGTTTTGTACTGAAATTCATATGCATGCACAATTTATATTTGTCAACAAAATAAATATCTAGCATTTAATGAAAAACCAAGGTGTCAAGATCATGAGAAACATGAATTTAGTCAGGTGTGTCCAAACTTTTGGTTGTACAGTTGTAGCTCTGTACAGGTGAGTTGGTTATAGACAGTATTAGGTAAAGGAAGAGGACAGTTAAGGATGAAGTGGGTGTGTTTGTATCCAGAGATAGGCCCAAGGGTTGTAAGCTCAGCTAAGATTAGCTAGAGAGATCGAATCACACCGGCTGTCCACTGTATGCATACTGTCCGCACCTCTTGAGTTATGTCATTGCTTGTCATAGTGTAATGTTGTGTTAAATCACATTTTGTTTTCATACTGAATATTTTGTAAATTATTTCTCCGTCATTATATATTGTCATTAATGTGAACAGTTTACAAAAGTGATGATAACTGTTTTTGCCTGTGTAGAGTGTTCCAAATCAATCACTTCTGAGGTTCTATTTCAGTTTGTATGCTCTTAGAAGGCAGTGGACAACAAGGCAGCTAACTTTTGAAACAGAGTCTATGTCTTTATATTTTTGGATAAAAAATTTGGTTGTAAAAACTTTTCCAATTTTTTTAGGTAATACGTACCACAGGCTTTATGAAAGGACTTTATGGAGAAGCAGAGATGAAGGCAGATAATGTGAAGGTAAATCACCAGTAAAAATGTGTCCACTTTTAGAGGAATGATCAGGTGCACAGTTTTTCTAAGTTATATTTGGCTGGCTCTTCTTCATCCCAGTGGTCTTGTGCTTGACATACTCTACCGTTCAAAAGTATGGGATCAGTCAGATATATTTTTAAAGAAATTCATACTTTTATTCATCAAGGATTCATTAAATTGATGAAAAGTAAAGATGTTTATAATGTTACAAAAGATTGCTATTTCAAATAAATGTTGTTCTTTTGAACTTGAACTATTCATCAAAGAATACAGAAAAAAACATGTCATGGTTTTCAAACATATTAAACAGAAAAACTGCTAATAATAATAATAATAAATGTTTATTGAGCAGTAAATCAACATATTAGAATGACTTCTGAAGATCATGTGACACTGAAGATTGGCATAATGGCTGCTGAAAATTAAATTTTGCCATCACAGGAATAAATTAAATTGTAATAATATTTCACAATATTACGGTTTTTACTGTATTTTTGATTAAATAAATGCATCCTTGGTGAGCATAAGATACTTCTTTACATTAAAAAATCTTAAAATCCCAAATATTTTAACAGTAGTTTAACACAGATCATTTGTCACACTTAAATGTATTTGTGTAAAAACTTATTTTAATGGGGAAAATAACTGAGTGCACCTTTAAGAGAAATTTTAGGCTATATATGTGTGCATAAGTAAATGTGCAAACCAGACACTTATTTCTTGCTTATTGCAGTACTACCTCACAATCATATGACAGTTTTATGTTCCTCGCCAATTAATCCACCTACTTGGCAGTGATGCATCATATTACAGTTGACCTCTTGTATCTACCTGATCTTCTGCCTCATTAAGTGTTCTTGGATTCTATAGCCATTAGCCACAGTATCTCAGACTTCCACTCTGCTGTGTTTTTTGCTGTTAAGGTGTTGACATTGATCAGATAACTAAGTGTAACTCAAGACTCTCCATTTAATTAGCGTGCCAAAGTCCCACGTATTGAGTCATGAGGTGTGATAAATCTCCCTGTTAAAAGCTTCGTGCCTTTTACTAGAATTACTTGGATCAGTGTCAGTGACCCTGTAAGAGATGCAGGTTACTAGCTCACCACAGCACTCTGTGTGCAAAGTGAGGAGTTCATGTCTGATCCTTCTCCAAACGTGGGGCAGTCTGAAAGAGCTCTGGCCTTTGATGTCCCAGCATGCATAATAAATGACCTCCCTACACCTGTGTGAAGCAGGACGGTCTGACGGTATACCATGACATAATATTTTGATAGCGCCACAGTTTTAACACTTTTCAGGGGAATCTAACTACAGATAGCTTACTTATAGATGTCTATACATAATAACTGGGACAGAAGGAAGCATTTTGATGCCAAAAAATTACATAAATTTGCCATACACCAATTTACACCAATACACCAATTTGATTTTTTTGCATTGCATTGGGACATTTTCATGTGAGATATTATATTATATTACATTATATTATATTATAATTTTTGCACTTTTGTATTGCCTTTCTGATTCTGATTTATGCTGATTTAAAATAAAAAATAATTGTGAATTACATTGTATAGCATTAAGGAATTTCACCATTGAGATTAATGGGAATTAAATGCTCAAACTATTCAGTGTCTGGACCCATTATGCTTAAGAAAGTATAGAGGGAAAACTTGCTTTAATGTCATAAGGCATACAATCTTAATGGTCCTAAAATGTGCTTCATTTTATGCAAAACCTGTTTCTTTTTTTGTGTTGAAATGCATGTGACATGAATATGTTTTCCTCAAATTTGCATGTTAGAATGATTTCTGAAGGATCATGTGACACTCAAAACTGGAGTAATGATGCTAAAAATACAGCTGCGCATCACAGAAATAAATTACAGTTTAACACATATTCACATAG